GATGGGAGTTTTCTGTGCCTCTTGGATCTGGATGTCTGTTTCCTTCCCCAGATTAGAGAATTTATCATCTAAAATTACCTCAAATAAACTTTCTTCCCCCCTCCTCTCTCTGTTCTTTTTTTTAAATTTTAAAGTTAATTAATTAATTATTTTTTTCTTTTCTCCCTTCACCTGGAACTCCTATGATATGATTATTATTAGGTGATGGAGGCACTTATCCAAAGTTTTTCTTTCTCTCTTTTGTTCAGCTTCATTATTTTCCATTATTTTGTCTTCTATAGCAGTTATTCATTCCTCTGTTTCTTTCATCTTTGTGGTCATGACATCTAGTCAGTTTCAAATCATTGTTATTGCATTTTTCCTTTCATCCTGATTGTTTTTTAGCTCTTTTATATCTTAGTAAATGTATAAGGTATCAGGTATAAGACTCCAGGGACCTAAGTCTTCCAGTCTTTTCTCCAAGCCCAGCTAGTATCCTTATGATTATTCCTTTAAATTCTGGATCAGGCATATTACATTTTCTGCTTTAATTAGAGCTGTGGCCATGATCTTTTCTTGTTCTTTCTTTTCAGAGGAATTCCTGTATCCTGGCATTTTGTCTAGATGTCTGCCTTCTTCTCTGTGTTAGAAGAGCCTGTTATGTTTCCTGTTCCTGAGAGTAATGCTTTATGAAGAAGAGGTCATATAGTGTCCAGGGCCTGGTGCTTCTGGGAGTGTCTCTGGTATGTGCTGTACGCTCTCTGCTCCTGTGTTTCTGCAGCTCTATCCCTTAGGCCAGTCATCTACAGAAGCTCTCCTTGCCTGCAGTGGGGTGTGTTTGGATCTTGGCCAGAGTGTGGCAAGTTTTAATTATGTGTGCTCTGGTCTGCTTGTTAAGTGAGACCTGATGCGATTTCCAGTAGAACTGAAGCTTTGCAGAACTCTGTGGTCAGTAGATGTGGTCTGTGCAGGGGTTTGTGCTGGTCTTCTGTGGAAGGAGCCCACTGCATGGGCCTTAGGCACATCTGCCTGAGAAAAGCAGAACCAGCAGAGCTAAGGGGGGCAGGACTTTGTGTAAGCAGGTTAGGCAGCCCATGTTGGCACTGTGCTGTTTAATGAAGTTGGTTTATGTTGAGGGTCAGGAGAGGGAAATTGTGCCAGACTGGTCCTTTGTCTGTGGAGAGGGGAGTCAGTGCTTGCTGCTCCCTGGGAATCTCTTTCTGAGTGGCAGATAATTTCCTCTCATGTGTCACAGGTGTTTTCCAGTGTCTGTCTCTGGGTTGGTTGCCTGCCTGGAGCAGCACAATGCACCCTGGGCTCTACCCAAGCCAGGCCTACTGCCTTTTAAGATTCCAAACTTCAGGGACCTGGTGTGGTAGGGACCTGTGCTGGTCCTCTGGGAAAGGGTCTCACAGAGTTGGGACTGATGCAGGTTTGACCCAGAAGGGCAGTTGTGCCAGAGTACAGGGGTGGGAAATTTGGAATAAAGCAGGCTAAACAGCCAGTGTCCCAGTCAGCTGCCCTCAGCAGGTGTCTCTGCACCTATGGTGGGTGGTCGGGTGGGGAGGTGGGAAATGACACCCACCAGTTCTTTTGTCTCCAGAGAGGCAATGCCACAGGTGCCCTGCCAAAAGTATGAACAGTCTCTCCCCATGTGCCCCAGGCGATCCTCAGATTGTGCAGTCTGCCCTGTGGTTGTTTGCCTGCCCTCTCTCCGGGAGTAGGCAGCACCCTCAGTCTCTATCCCAGCCAAGCCTGGGGACCTCCAAAACTCCAGTCTTTGAGTCCCCCCAATTTCAAGAACTCATGAAAATCAACCCCTCTCATTTTCCCAGGCAATGGCTTTGGGGAAGTGTTCTTGTGTTTATCCCTGTGCCTTCCTCCATCTCTCACCTTTCTCTGTGACCAAGGCTTCCTCTCCTCCCCAGAACCCACAGTCTGTTTATTCCCCAAACTTTGTCTCTGCACTTCCTACCTTTCTCAATGTGGCCTCTTCTCTCCCTCTAGTTGTGCAGTCTGTTCTATCAGTTCTCAGGTCAATATCTTGGGTATCCAAAGTGAATGCACAATTATCTAGCTGTTTGAGGGACCAGATAAACCTAGGGCCCTCCTACTACATGGCCATCTTTGACAAGAGGACTTTTTAAATGAGCCATGACCAGAGGTAGAATAGTCTGTCCCACAGGGTTGGGAATTCTCCATTATACATACATACATACAT